ATGTCTGTCTGAGCCATGGTACGTTGGTGTCAAGATCAGGGCCAGCCAAACGTTGTTGTGCAAAACATTCTTCTTTGACTCCTAAGCCTTTTGATGAGCAATTAAACCAGGGAGGCTTATCTGGTGACAGTCCTTCTCCTCAGGTGACGTCACTGCTCACCCTGGCCCCTGCCGAAGGCTAGCGGAAGCACTCTGCCAACCCTGTGCATTCCCTACAGCTGAGAGGCCTCACCAAGCAAGCGCTCTGTCCTTGGGAACTGAGACTCCGTAAAAGTCTCACAGCATTTTCTCCCTTTTCCTCAGGAGAAGCTGGACATGGTGGCTGGTCAACTGTGGTTTTATTTAGATTGTGTTTAGCCAGCATCCTCCACCCTCCTCAAACCACCCAAATTCAGTGCGGTTTCCTCTGACTTCAGTAGCTAGCTCCTGTATGGGGAAATGAGGTAGGGACTCGTGAAAGGAATAGAAACGAGGTACCCGGGGAGGAGTTGAAGCTTATTCTCTCCCATTCTTTCTCTTTTGCCCATACTACCCACCCCTAGCTCCTTGCCCCATCACCACCCCAGTGACTGATCCCTGTATTTCTGTTTAACCATGCAAGATATTAAGCTGTTTGTGGGTTTCAGGGAGGTGTTTAGTATCCAGCAATCAAAATCAAAATGCCTGGGGCCAGAAAAGCATCAGGTCAAATGGACTTTGTTTTAGGAATAAGGGAATTGCTTTTTTTTTTTTTAGAAGAGAGATAATCTGGGCCTTACAGACCCACAATGGTAGAGTGGAGACTGGGCCTTTAAGAAATCGTCTCTTTCCTGCCACTGCCTCTAACTAGGCACCAGTTACCTTTAAAGATGTGCAGAGAAAGCCACTCTAACCATCCTTGGTCATACATTCCAGTCCTTAACTGGCCTTACTCTTGGTAAGTGTTTATCATCTAACCTGAATCTCCCACACTGTGCTCTATGCAAACTCATTTCCTCTTGCTCAGCCACAGAAGGAGAGCTAGAGGATAATATCTGGCCATCCGTCCTTTTGTATTTGAAGACAGTTAATAACACTGCTCTCACAGCATCGTTCACCTCTATCAGTATTTCCAGCTTGCCTGATAGCAACAAGTTCCACTTCATGTATGCCCACTGCCTACTTCTTTCCCTTGTACATGGGAAGCTGTACAAAGCCAGCCCTTGGGTTTGGCCATTCTGAATGCTGTTCAGGAGAGAGACTCTGCATCTCAACCTTGAGGGTGGGGACTGCCTGTCTTGAAACAGCTGGAAGGGACACTTCCGCCTGTGCTGTTGGCATCCTTGGGGCAGGTGGGCTGGTGGAGGCCTGCCCTTTGTACCTCATATTCACTTGGATGTCACCCAGGAGAAATCTAGCCTGACAGCTGCTGTTTTTCACTTAAGTTCTCTCCTGGAAGTTTCAGCCGAATAATGGACTATACAGTTTGTGGGTCTCCAGAAGTAGTAGACAGGTGTTGGGTATCTTGTGTCTGTAGGAAAAGGGAGCCTGAACAGCTGAGAATAAACAACAGTTGCTTGGTAATATGAGCTCCTTTCATTTAAAGTCAGAGGCCTGGCTATTGGGTGGGGGAAGGGAAAGCCAGGTTGTTCTGGCCACCACCTGTCTGGAGGGCCAGAGGTGAGGTCAGTTTCCCAGAGAATCTTGGAGTCCGCTGAGAGCCAAGTATGGGAGAGAAGTGGGGAGGGGGGACTTGGTGAGGAATGCAGTGGCTGAGATTCTGAAGCGGGTCGTGGAAACTCTTTGGTCCTGACCCCCTGACGCCAGCTGCTTTGGGAAATTGTTTTTCAAGACTTTCTGCTTCCATTTCTGCACTTGTAAAATAACTGATGGACTTGAATAGGTACGTGTCATTTCATGATCTACCTGACTAAAGTCAGGGCTGGAAAAATTCTGGTGCTATAAAGGAGCTGCTTTCCAGAGCTGACACATTTGATGAGATTTTGGTGGCCTCTAACTGGCTTCAGAAGACCTGGGTTCAAGTTCTGGCTTTGTCATTGAATAGCTATTGTTATTTATCTACGACCCTGGATAAATTACTACATCTTTCTGTGTCTCACTTGAATCAGTTGTAAAATGAGGGTAATAACATCTCTTCTCCCAACTCCTAGGGTCGCTGGGAAGATAAAATATTGTGTCTGAAAGCCCTTTACAAGTGTAAAGCTTACTATATAAACAAAACACAGGACACTGGACAGAGTCAAAGGAAGGAGAAACTTGGTTCTTCTCTCACCACACTTATGGTCTTAATGGTAATGATGGCTTGCAGCTGCAGGGCATTTCATTTTCAGAGTAGTGTCCCATTTATCATCTCGATAGTGCATCATAAGAAGTAAACAGAAAAAAACAGCTGGGGGGGCGGGAGCTGTGTTTTGAATCAGGTTTTAATGGATGGACAGGTTAAGGCTTGAAGGAAAGAAGGGACTGCGGAGGAGGAAGTGAGCAAGAACAGTGCGAGGGACTTGAGGGACTCTGCGTATCTGCTTCCCAGCCAAGTGAAACCAGCTCAGGTTTACCTTGGCAGAGGTTTTCCTCAGGCCAGGTGAAACGTAAATGATCATTCTCCACCACTGCTGAGCCCAAGGCTTAACGTAAATCTTATACGATTTTAGATTTTAGGTCCAGAATCCATTGTGGGTGGAAAAAGTGTGGGAAGAGGGATCTGGTGGCTTTTCTTCCTTTTAAGAGGCTTACATTTAAATGCAGAGTGCCCATGATAAACTTCAGGGGGCTGCTCCCCTTGTGAGTCTCCCTTTCCCCAAAATAACCTTTGAATATTTTGGCCCCTGTATTGTGGAACCCACTGGTTTTTTGTTTGTTTTGGGTTTTTTTTTTTTGGCTTCCAAGTGAATGGTAGTGTCCTAGCATCCCTTTTCCTCTTAAACACCTGAGCCCCCCTCCACAGGGCAAGTTCCTTGAACTGAGAAGTTAGTAGATCCCCTGCTAAGCGCTAGTCCTTGGAGGCAATCCAAGGCAGTGAGCAACTCTGTGCGCCTTGGCTTAGCTCTGGGTCCTGATGTTTGGAGTTACAGCCCAGCCTCCTCAACATTCCCGGAGCCGGAAGAAGTGTCCTGCTCCTTGCCAGCCTTGACACCTGATGGGAAGGCGTTTCTCCTTTCCGTGCCATGTCTGGGAATTAAAATAGAGTGATACCAAACCACCCTTGTGAGAGCCAGGGGCCGGATGAAGAGAGTCAGAAATAAGCCAGAGCCACTGTTCCGGGGAGTCATTTACAGGGGGCCTGGCCTTGGCGTTTGGCCACACTATCTCTCTTGCCGAGCAAAACGTACTTCGCTCAGTTTCCCGGCCTCTTGGAGGTTGCACAGTGTCACTATGCCTTGAGCTCCCCTCCATGTGTCATTACAAGGCATGATGCACCCATGGCCAACTGTGGCATTTGATGTCTTGCTGAACTGTAGGGACATATTTTTTTGCAGGGAGTTCTTGTGGTCTTGAGGAATGTGACTTTTCCTCAGCTTTGGGACACTTGTGAAGTGTTCCCACGACTTTCATCCTGGCACAGAAGATGAGCACTGGCTCCTACTGGAAACTGGGCTCACAGAGAGGGGCAGAGAAGAATAGGTGAATCAGATTGTGGACTTTCGTTTTGGTGCTTTCTTTTGTGCTCCTCCTGGTCTATTTGAAAGCTACCATCTCTACTTTGGTTCTTATCTGCAGGACTTACTGGAGAGGCAAATGCGCTGGGCAGGGAGGGAGGCGATACAGCCTCTGCTCTAGAAGCTGGGCTGCCTTAGACTCTGCCCACAGAGTGCCTAAGTAAGGGGGATCAGTTCTAGGGCTAATCTTTCAGGGTGGTACCTGGGTCTAGGGAGTGAGTGGGTCAGCATAGCTTGGGACACTGCGAGACTGATCCAGACTTTCTAGGTTCCATGACCTGGGACATACTAGATTTTTTTGTGACTCAGCCCATGCCTCTTCCAGGGTGAAGCAGAATTCAGTCATTCCCAGGAATGTAAAAGAGTATCCTTAGCTCCCTGGGGCTTTGCTGGATGCTTTGCTTCCTGGGTGCTCACCCTCCCTAATTTCATTCTTTGCTTGGGATGGGGCTATGGTATTGACAGGGTTGCTCAGGATGTACAGGGAGCAGCCCCTTTTCCTTACGTGTCCTGTGTCTCTCAGATCCTGTTGTCTGTCCTTGCTTGGTATGTCATGTCTGCTGTCTCAGCTCATTCCACAGGAGAACTGTCCTCTTTTCTCAGCTTGTCATTTTGGAAGCAGCCTCCAGGAACTTTGCTGTCTCCCTCTCACTATGCCCCTACCTGCACCCCAAATCACTTAAAGAAAGCACCTTTCTTAGGAGAAGAGATCCAGCTGAAAAGTCCCCTAGTTTTCCGAAAACCCTGTATCTTGAGTGGCCTTGGAGAGTGAGGACTGAATTCCTGATTCCTCCCTTCCCCGTCGCCCCAACCCTCCAAGAAAAACCAGGGAGTTAGATTAATGAGTGGTGCCTGGCCAGTCGTCGCTTTGAGAAAGTTTGGTTTGTGATCCTGTTTCATTAGGCTGATTGGAGCAGCCGTCACTCGGAGGTGGAGTCCTCCCCAAGGGATTCCGTGTACAGTTACACTAGCTGTGCCGCCTGTGCATGCCCTTGCTCAACAGAAATGACCTCCCCTCACCCCCCTCCTAGCCCCCCGCTCCTCCTCCTTTTTTGTTTTTCTCCGGTGTCTCGCTTCCTCTCCTCTTTCCTTCTCCCTCCTACCTCTGCCTCTTCCTCCTGCTCTCTTCCTCCCTGCAGCGCCAAGCCGGCTCCCCAACCTCGTCTGCTGAACGCAAACCGCTGAGAGTTTGTCGAGCTGGCCCCTGGTGCCCCGGGCTGCCGAGCCCCGCTAAGGCAAAGACGCAAGCGCGCGAGGGAGAGCCGCGGAAGGAAAACAAGCGGGCGCGCGAGGGGAGCCCCAGGAGGGCGGCCGGGTGGCTGGCAGGCGGCTCCCGCCGCGGACGGCCGGGAGGAGCGGCGCGCGCAAAAGTTAGCCTGCCGGCGGCCGCGCGCCCCGCCGCGCCGCGTGCCCTCGCGCTCCTTCCTCGCTGCGCTCCGGGAGAGGCGCTTGCTCTTCCTGCAGCTCGAGCCCCGAGCGCTTCCCAACGTGAGAGGGCCGAGCGCGCCGCGGGCCAGGGGTGGGGAGCAGGACGCGGCGGGCAGGAGCGAGACGGCTGGCCGAGGGCGCCGAAGAAGCGCAGAGGCGACGGGGACCCATGCCGGCGGCCAACATGATGGAGAACCTCCAGCTGCCCGCCCTGCAGGTGCCGGAGCCGCAGGGCGCGCCCGAGGGCAGCCCGGTCTGGTCCAGCTCGTCGACCCCCACGCTCCGCCGCCGGCGCTTCAAGATGCGCCGCATGAGGAACGTGCAGGAGCAGAGCCTGGAGGCCGGGCTGGCCCAGGACCTGCCCGGCGTCTTGGCCCCTGGCAAGGAGTTTCTGCAGCTGCCGTCTATCGAGATTACGCCCTCCAGCGACGAGGACACCCCTTGGTCCAACTGCTCCACACCCAGCGCTTCCCCCCGCCGAAAACGCTTCCTTCTCCGCAAGTGGCTGAGGGTGAGGGAGCGGAAGGAGTGCAGTGAAAGCAGGTACGTCCCTGTTCCGCCCCCTGCCTTTTCCCCCATTTCCTCCTCCTCTTCCCTCGAGCCGTCCGGCGCCCCAGGGCATCCTAGCGGAATCTTCGACGAGGAATGCAGGAGCCCTTCATCAAGCACTGCGCCCGGCCCCAGAGTTAGTGGTACTTGAGCTTCCCCTCGCGTCACTCATCTCCCCAACCCAGCGCTCGGGGCCAGTGACTTTATATTACGTAACACATTTACATGGGGCCTCACGCTGCATTCCGTCTCATTTGATCCGCCCAGCAAAATGAATAATAAAAACCACAGCAGCTAATATTTATCCAGCCCTTATCATGTGCAGGTCATCATGGTGAATACTTCACCATCTATCTCCAAATTTAATCCTCACGAAAACTTTTTGAGATAGGTACTGCTATTATTCCCATTCAACAGATGGAGATAGCAGAAGATGAAAGAGGTTAAGACGATCCTCTACTTAGACTTATATTTCTGAGCTCCATTTCAATTTTTATAATTTTGTTTTTGGCTACATCAGGTTGCCTTTCCTGGCCCACATGTTTAGAGGAGGTGGCAGAGTATTCATGTTAAGTGAGTCACATTTCCTATCACAGAGAGTGTTTAGATATCTAGGCCTGGTCCACACCACTGTGGTTTGTGCTAGCTACTTCTTTGCCTGGGTAGATGTGGCGTCTGAGTAGTGGGGGAAGACCGCTTTCCTTATGACTTGGTGTAGAAAAGCATAGGGCAGGGGCTGGCCCTGTGGCTCAAGCGGTTAAGTGCACACGCTCCGCTACGGCGGCCCAAGCGGTTAAGTGCACACGCTCCTCTACTGCGGCCCAAGGTTCGCAGGTTCGGATCCAGGGAGTGCACGGACACAGCGCTTGTCACACCATACTGTTGTGGCGTCCCCATATAAAGTAGAGGAAGATGGGCACAAATGTTAGCTCAGGGCCAATCTTCCTTGGCAAAAAAGAGGAAGATTGGCATCGGATGTTAGCTCAGGGCTGATCTTCCTCACATACACAAAAAGAAAACCATAAGAAAACCATGGGGCAGCTCCATACAGCCAGCTCCATACAGCCTTGGCCAAGAGTTGTGTTTGAGCCAAACCCACTGTCTGGTGGAGGGGGTGTGGAATCCTCATTGGCTCATTGATACCATGCACCCTACTCATTTACTTCTAGACTGTAGGACCCTGTCTCTTAACAGTGGTTTGTGCTCTTATGTGGGGCAACTGAGTGACTGGCTACCTTCCCCAGGCCTCCTCCTCCCAATCTGCTCAATTTCATGCATTTCAATTCAACAAGTATTTATTGAATATTCTTATCAGCTCAGTCTGGTACCAGCTAGTGGTGATGTGGTTGTGGAGGCAGTAGGGGGACAGCTGGGTAAAATGGGGGGATGTGGAAGTTGAGAAGGAGGGTGGGAGGAGACTTGCATATGGAATGAAGACATGTGAGTTTCACTCATGTTGAGGAGATGGAACCACTGGAAGACATATACTATGTGTACCACCTACAAGAAGAGAGAGGAGGAAGTCTTCTGGAAGAGTCTCAAACCGTGACAAATACAGACAGGTAGTAGGAGACGGCAGGGAAGTGTGAGGTCATGGTCATGAGGTCAGGAAAAAGGAAGAGTATGGACAAAGGCCTAAGAGCAGGGTGAGCCATGTATCTTTGTTTTTTTTTTTTTGTGAGGGAGATCAGCCCTGAGCTAACATCTCTGCTAATCCTCCTCTTTTTTTTTGCTGGGGAAGACCGGCTCTGAGCTAACATCTATTGCCAATCCTCCTCCTTTTTTTCCCCAAAGCCCCCCAGTAGATAGTTGTACGTCATAGTTGCACATCCTTCTAGTTGCTGTATGTGGGACACGGCCTCAGCATGGCCGGAGAAGCAGTGCTTTGGTGCGCGCCCAGGATCCGAACCCAGGCCGCCAGTAGCGGAGCACGCGCACTTAACTGCTAAGCCACCGGGCCGGCCACGAGCCATATATCTTTGAGGGGACGCTGAGGAGCTGGGCCATGTTATGCAGAAGATGAGCATGCTAAGCCTTCCAGGGTTTCTCTTCTGGTAGCAATGACTGGATGTGGTTTTCCCTGCAGGTGCAGATGCAGAGCTTTGTTCTGGGGCTTTTTGTGGCCCTGGGGATAACAGTTCGTTCTGTTCTGGTACTTCACCTTGCTGCCTTTTCCACAGAGTAGAGGGAAGTGGGGCAAGCTTGGTGGGAGCTAATCTTGCACTAAAATAGTTTGTTACAGTTTTTCAGCTTTCCCCTCACATTTGACCTCACCCTATTTTGCCTCACCCTATTTTGACCTTGAGATTCTGCCACATATACTGAGGACAAAATATGGGGAAAAGAGCCTTGCTTTGCTGTCCAGGGTGGGAATGGGACACCCTATTTTGCCTCACCCTATTTTGACCTTGAGATTCTGCCACATATACTGAGGACAAAATATGGGGAAAAGAGCCTTGCTTTGCTGTTCAGGGTGGGAATGGGGTGGATTTGGTTAGATTTAAGGAAGGCTTTCCTGGTTTTGAGAGTTGTCTAAGAGTGTGGTAGATTCTTCATTTTTGTTGGAGCAGGGAACAGGAAGGATGTTCACTTCCTAGGAGCGGTTTAGGGCAGTTTTTAAATGGTGGCTCGTTGGATTAGAAGAATAGATGTATATACAGGTTTCCCCTGCAATCCGACAATAGAGTGTTCCCCTGAAAACTTTCGTAAGCGGAAATGGCATAAAGTGAAGAAGCAATTGCTATTAATTTATATGGGAAAAATTTTGAGCATTCCCAGATCTAAAAAATAACCTACCAAATCATACCAAATAATACATAAAACCTAAAATAACACTAATATATAGTAAAAGCAGGAGTTATCTGATAAATACACAGCCCACATAAAGTAGAAATAATGTAAGTCTAGTGTAGTTTCACTTACCTGAATGGGGAAGACAGGGAGCACACTAGAAGGCTGAGAGGTGGTGGTCGTGATGATGGAGTATCAGGCCGAGTTGTTGGAGGTTGGGGTGGTGGGGTACCAGAGACTGCGATGTAGGAAAGAGAGGAAGAGGGTCATCTGTTAATATCTCAACATCGCCTGAATCCATCAGGGCAGGCAGATCACTACTGTCTACACCTTCTTCTGGGTCTGCCTGCCTCCATGTGGAAGGTCGAGGTTCGTCGTCTGCTGTGGCTGATGTAGCTGGTGTGGCTGATGTGGAAGGCTTGAAATATGACAGTATGCTTGACTGCTTAGCCTTTATAATGGCTTGTTGCAAAACAAACACTGAACGCCATGTTTGCCTTTTTTCGTAAAAGCGAAAAACTTCAATTTTTTGTGGTTAGCAAAAACAGGTACTAATGGAGGCCTTTCGTAAAAGCAAAATGGCTTAAAGTGAACTTTCGGATAGCAGGGGAAACCTGTATTTAGAAAAAGGCAGACTGGATTCAAACCCCAAATTTTCTGGCTCAAATCTCTACTGTTAACCACTGTTATACTGCCTCCTGTTGGAATCTATCTGGATTGTGGCTAAAACAAAAACCCATCATTTTTAGGCCTTGGAATTAGAAGGCTTCTTGGAAAGACAGGAAGCAATCAAGTGAGCAGGTGCATGTAGATGCCCAACAAGATTCCCTGAGAAGGAACTGGCGTTCAGAGGCAATAGAGCACAAAGAATATTGGACTTAAAGTCAGGAGACTTAGGTTTTTAAGTTCTGTCATTTATTAGCTGTGGAACCTTGGGCACCTCACTTCACCTCTGTGTGTTTTGCTTTCTCTATTTGTGGAAGGGGAGATCTGGGGATTAATGGGAGGTCTGAAGAGTAACACACGTGAAAATGTTCTGTAAGCTCCCCCTTGCTGTGCAAGGGTGAAGGATTACTGTCCTTATTCTGTGAGTGTCTCACATGGAGTGGCTGTGTGCTTGGGAGTCTGAGGTTACACACTCATGTGTCCTGGAGCCGCACCTGGGTCTCTTCCCACATTACACGACTTGGAAATGACGACTGGAAAATGACTGCTCTGGTTTGGATTAGGGGGGATTAGCATACCAGGCCCAGCATGGCATCCTTCCTCTTCACATTCCCTACTCCAAATCAAACTCTCCATAAGAGAGAAAAGCACCCTTCAGGCCTGCTTTGGAGTCCTCTCTGATGTGGTAGAAGGCGAGGGGCCAAGAGGGCCACAGGTTGTGGATTTTAACTGCACAAAGTTGAAATATAAAGAGGTTCAGGAGATCTCTTTGTTCTCCTTAACCCTAGGAAGAAAGAAAGGGAGAAAATGGTCAAGTTGGCATGGTTTGGGGATCCAGGGGCCTTGGGGTGCAGTACAGTACTCCAAGTCCAGTCCTGTCTGGTTCAGCCTTGTATCTTCACTGTCTAGCATTGTACCTGGTTTTTCATGGTGATCCGTAGATGTTTGTTGATGAATAAATTAATAATGAGTGAATGAATTATTCCTTTCTCTACTGTGTGGAATGGAATTCTCCTTATTCATGAGTCAGGGAAAATTTCCTGGAGGAGATGAATCCAGAGAGGTTTTTTTTTTTAGCAGCTTTATTGAATTATAACTTACTTGCCATACTGTTCACTCATTTTTTAAATGTATAATTCAGTAGTTTTTAGTATATTCACAGATAAGTGTAATTATCAAGTCAATTTTAAAACATTTTCATGACCTCAAAAAGAAACTTGTACCCCTATATGTCACCCCCAGTCCTCCTATCCACCATCCTCCCCCAGCCCGAGGCAACCACGAATCTACTTTTTGTGGAGAGCTGAGATTTGAATGGGAACCAAATGCCTATCATTGAAAGCAGTTTGGGTGTGTTGGCTTGAAGGTGGGGATGGATGACCAAGTGTGGTCTTGATGAAGAATGTGGGAAAATGAGGGTGGTGAGCTGATGGGCTGACAGACTGTGATTTATGCTGAAGAGTTTGAATTTCAATTAATCAGTCAGTCAACAAAGATGTATTGAGGTCCTATAGACAGTGTGCTTTATATACAAAGAG